TTATTTATTTATAAGATAAACTATTTGCCTGAGATATATTTTGTCAATCTTCTGTGAGGGCATTTAAACTTCGACCCAACAGAGGTTTTTTATCACATATTATTGTTGCACTCTTGTGCTGCAGCATTTAATTAAAGTTGATCATGTTGCGTTTTGCGGTAGTTATTGTTGCATGTGCCCGCTGCTGGCTAATTGAAGTGTCATTAATTTGTGTGCATCAACATAATTGCACATAATTATGAATAAGTCATAAGTCATTTTGTTGAATCCGAAAGAGTTTGGGTTAATTTTTCTAGAGTTGCGTAGCCTCCCCTTAATCCGGGAAATGTTTTAACTCGGCTGGCTGCCGTGACCCGCTCTGTTGACCCCACTTACTTATATTCCCATTGTTTTTGTTGCTCTTTTATTATTTCGTATATGTTTTTCGGCTGCCTCTTGTGTTAAAATTTGTTGCCGGTTGCGCGTGAGTGATTTACATACCTTTTTTATTTTTTTAGCAGGGACTGGCTTTTTATGCCCTCTAGTAAACACAATTTCCACGTGCTATTTGAAAACATAACACAAAAAAAAAACAAAATTGTTAAAGCAACCTCCATTACGATATCTTCTCATGTGCATTATTTTCATTAATTTGTTGTTGTTCTTTTATGTTTTGCTCTTTGGTCAGCTCTATGTATATTCAATTTATTTAAAATTTTTGTAAGCTCGCTTTTTACTGGAGTTTGTTGAACTTCCTGTGGCTTGTCATAGTTAGTTTCATTTTCTTCATTTACTTAGTTTTGGATCTGTGGTATAGCTGGTGTTGTTTGTCTTTCTGTTTGTGTAAGCTTTAAGCATTCGTTTGGAAAGAGTTTGACCGAAATTGGCTTTGAACTGAATTGAGGAAATGTTAATACCAAAGCTAAATTCCACTATCCAATCGTTATTTGATACATATATTCTTTATGAACTTTTTAATATTTTTAAAGATTTCTAATATAAAAAATAGCGGGTATAACCCGGCTTTGCCCGTGCATGTATATTATAAAATCAATTTAAACAAAAAGCTATGAAAATGATTTTGAATCTGAGCGGACTAAAAACCAGCAACTTTCATATAAAAGTTTTCCTCCCATTTTTCCACTGTTGCGAATGGAATTCCCAAATCGCTGAATCACGTATTGATTATATTTTTAGAGCTTTAAAAACAAGTTTAATGCAAATCGGACACAACTTAAAATTCACCAAAAAAAAACTTTATATACACTTTCCACCGAAAAATGTGATACACGTCTTAAATGATTTTTCATATAGATCCTTGAAAGTAAATTTGGCGCGAAACGAAATCTTTAAAACACCTCTCAAATGCATTTGAGGAAAGATTTTTGAAAATGACTTTTTGGGCGATCGAATGGTAAACAAAAAAGGATCATACAAACGTTTGTTCCACACTTGCGGGGGGAGTTTCCCGGAACATGTTGTTTATTGTTTTCTTCTAGAATATTTGTGAAAATAACTGTTTATTATTATTCTATCTACCACTGTCATTCATATTTCTCACACTTTTACTGGCAGTCTAAAGTTTTCTGATTATAAACTGAAATTGGCAACATCCTCACACTTACCAAGCAGCATCACCACATAATGGGATGGTCTTGTGCTTACCACAACTCAACCTCTATCCCCTTTGTGAACCAAAAGTCACGTAAAAACTCAAAAATGGCCTTTACGGCGGCAAACCTCGTCAAATTGATTTTTGTGGCAAGTAAATAATCAAATTAGCTTTGCCATTCATCGCCGTTCTTATATAATATGAGAGCGGCGCCGGGCACAAACCCTAAAAACCAACGAAAAATCAATCCCCATCAGAAGGCAAACGCCCCAAAAATTGAAGTCATTAGTTTTGGCATAAAACAAAAAAAAAAAAAAGAAACACCCCGACAAAAAGCCACAAATTGGAATTTATATGCATATATATATATATTGCCTAAAGTTCATGATCACGTACCCAACTTCTTAGCCAAGTTAGGAGCCAGCGGATTGGCATTGTTTAAAATGCAATAGCGCCACATTTCTGTGCCCGGTTTTGTCCCCGATTGTCTCTGCCTCTCTCTGCCTCTGCCTTTGCCTCTGCCTCTGATGAGCCGCATCAATCAGCGCTGCCATTGTCTGAACTTGAAATCGACTTTTAAACAGGCCAGGCCAGTCATTCGGGCAGTTAACTTGGCCTGGCCAACATAAAAGCCTAATGATCAGCGCCAGCGATTGAGTTACATGCAGCAAATCTCTGACGATCGCAGAATCGCATTCAACTCCTTCTAGCTCCTTCGCCGCGCGCCTTCCTTTCAACTGTCCACAGTTAATCACGAGCTGGCCAAAAAGAATGCCAGATTAAGCCAAAGGGAACCAGTTTATTTTTTATTTTCTTCGGAGCGCCGGCATTGAAGTACCTTCGTTTCTTATTATACCCTTAGCTAATGGGTATAGAAGGCATTGTTTATAAGGTTAAGATTGGAGTTGGTCTGAAAAAAAAATTCAACAGGAAGTTCCTTCATGTTTTCCAACTGTTTCGAATAGAAAGCCTATAGACTACAGTATAGAGTATATAGAGCTGTGGGAGTGAGTTGAGCTGAAAAGCAGTTAGAGTAGGATAGAAAGATGGAGAGTGCTGGAGACAGAGATGTGGATATAGAAAGATTAAGAGAAATAGAAACATTGAGAGGGAGAAAGGAATAGATGTAGAGAACAGAGAGCAGAAAGATATATAGGAAAGATATTGAGAGGCAGAATGAGGGAGGCAAAAGGATAGTTATGCTTAAAGGCCGGAAGAGATAGAATAAGGAGAGAGAGCTAAGAAAAGAAGGTCGTAGAGAGAGATCGAGCGAGGGAAAGAGCGAGAAAGGAAATGAAAATAAGTCGCAAGAAGGATGACTTGAAAAGCTTAAAGAGACAGAGACAGAGAGACAGTAGGTATGTCGAAAGATATAGATAGCCGGAATAAGGCAGGCAGAAATATAGACGAGATTAAAGCAAGGCAGGAAGAGACGGAATAAGGTGAGATTCAATTAAATAAAGGCATGAAGAGATCTAAAGAGGGAGAGAGTGAAAGAAAAGGGACAGGTTGATGATGGAATAATTATAACTTATATACAAATCGTAATTTTTGTTTCTTCCAAATAGTTCCTTAAAAAAATGCACTCTTACATTTTACATTAGTTTAAGAACAACACGAAAACTTGTTAACATTCAGAATGCAGCAAATAAGTTTCTTGAGCTCCCTTCGAACAAAGTATAAACTTTTAATGGAGATTATTAACCGCGACTTTTTGGTATTTTTGGTGAGAGCATTATAACTTCGACTTGCTTGTTGCATAGTTGTTTTTCGCGCGAGCTGACTTGTTTTTGTAAATCAAGTTTGCAGTTTTTGGAGTTGTTGGCGCTCTGCGATGTTTGTTATTCTGCGGGACGTGGCGCAACTCGTTTTTTGGTCTTAAGAGTTGCTCAGAGGTTCGCGCTGCGCTGGCTGCTTGGCATATTTGTTGGCCAACAACAACAGCAACAACAGCAACAGCAGCCACAACAATAACACAAACAGTCAACAAGCAAAACGTGCACGCCAAAATATGCAACAAAATATGCAACTGCAACAAGAACAAGAAGAAAAAGCAGCAGCAGCAACAGCAGCAACAATTTCAACAATGGGCAGCGCCTTGGGGCGCGTCGTCATTCCGTCTAGCTGCGTTTTGGTTGACTTGTTAGTTGCATTGCTTTCGTTGATGTTGTTTTTGTTGTTTTTGTTGTATTTGGGGTCGGGTTGCTTGCTTTGGCTATCTGCCAATTGTTTGGCAAATTAACAGCGAAAAGGAGTTTGCAGCAACAACACACAACCGAACACCCTCAAGTTGCTGCTGTTGCTGTTGCTGTTGCTTCTACTCCTGTTGTTGCGTGTTGTCCTTCTGCCTTGCAAAATGTTGCCAAACATTTAAATATGCCTTTGTTTGGCTTTTCAGTTCAAATGAGCTTGTCGTGGCCAAAAGTTGCCGCCGCCAGTTTGCCCAGCGTCTGCGTTCCACGATAATCTGCCGCATGCCAGTTTCTTGTTGTTGTTATTGTTATTCATATACCTCGCAGCACCTAACAATAAGCGCGGGGTATGCTCACACTGCTTAGGCTGCTCTAAGTATAACAATTTCATTCAAGAATAAGCTCGGAATGGTTTAGCTCAACACTCATCCAAATAAAAAGCTCACATAACTCTATCGCTCGATTTACTGCATAGAATCTATAAGCATAAAAATCTAAATGTTTAAAAAACAGTCTGTTAGTACGTAGGTAAAGATATTGAAAACTCTCTTTAGGTTGGCTTAATCTTATTAAAATAGCAACATTTTATTCCCTTTATTCGTAGGGTTTCAAAGCACGTAATTGCTTAACTTAAAGTTTAAATTTTAACAAATTTAATATCTAAGGTAAAGCTTTTCGGTAGGATATCGAGCGATTAAGGGCGTGTGTAAATTATACCGAAAACTTTTCTTCTCGAAATTCTCTACCGAATACAGGGTATTACCTCAACTTATACACAGACCCTTAAGCATTGGCTATTGTTACTGACTGCGTTTGGCAACGTCTTACATCTTGGCTTAGTGCGTTTATCTTCATTATGCCATTGAATTTATTCATGCATCCATATTTAGTTAAATTACACGTTCGGGATAAGCTGCGCTCAGGCGCATCCACACGGCAGAACTCAATTGCCAGCCGCTCCCCATTCAATCGCAATCTGATCTTGCTCCAACTGCAACACTCAGCTCGTCTGTTTAAACTAATTAGTTGAGTGTGTTATTTTTGTACATTTTTTTCTTAATTTATTTTTGTGGATTTCCAAGAAAATCTTCGCGCAGATTTTCTGGCGTACGTAATTAGGCAACCAGTTTTTGCCTGCGCTTCGGGTTCCATTGCATTATTAAATTATACGACTGGCATTAAAATCGTTTTTCTTTCATTTTCGGTTTTCTTTGCAGGTGAGCGAACTGTTTTTCCTTCGGACAGCTACTACACAACTCCCTTTTTATTGCTGTAAATAACGTGGTAAATATTTGCATTTCTAAGAAATTTTCGAGGGCTCTTACAGCAAAATTGTTGGGTTGTGGCTCTTTATCCTCCTTTTTGACTTAAGTCTAAATGTTTAAGCATCGTTTTGGTTGAAATCGAAATATACATTAAGGGTTTGCAGCTTACTGGATGATAATGATAATGGAGCTGAGCTATTTTGAGCAAAGTTTTTACAGCAAAGTGCATTGAAAGCAAGTTTGGTAAATAAATGCTATGCCTTGTTGGCAATTATTGTATCAGATGCTAATTGTAATTCTTTGGCAAAGTTTCTTTTGGTTTAGTTAATGAAAACTTAGAATCGAAACATTTAAAAATAAATATGAATACATTTTTAATGAGAGCTTATATTATTAAAAAGACATATTTTCATGCTTTATGTAAGACACATAACTATTCCTGAAAAATATACAAATAGAATAATAGAATAGAATAGAATAATTGCAATTGGAACAAATGAATTTCTTAATTAAGGCTTCATAAAAATCTAGAATTGTTTTACTCTCCTATATAAAAATGGAAAAACCTGCTTGCTTTATAGCCGTTCAATCTGATGCTGGTTTTTAATCAACTAGACAAAAATACAATAAAATCGACAGAAAAATTTGCCAATGCATTGGTCTGTGGTTATTTAGCTGCTTCTTAAGCCGAGCCGATATGGGAGAGAGGGGAAAAAAACTAAACCGGCAACTGCATCGTCGTCAACTGGATAAACCAAAATGTCAGCAAGTTTTCAGTCTTTGGGGCTTCTGTCGATGCCTCTCTTTATTTTTTACGACTATGGCTAAGCCGTATACGTATCTACAAGATATAGATATGGGCATCTATGTCTGTGTGTGTGTGTAACTGTGTGTGTAGATAGCAGTAGACATTTTATAGGTTAACTGCTTTGGCTTTGGCTTTGGCTGACTTCACCTTTTTACGCTCGATCGGTTTACAATAAATAAAAAAAAAAAAACTAGAGAACTATAGCGAACTGAGAAGTCGTTCGGGTAGCGAAACAATAAATGTGAAACAAACACAGCTTTTTGTACTCGAATGCTGCCAATAAAACAATAAAATGTTGTCTTATCTTGACACAGCAAATCAATTTCAAGGGGAAGAAAAACTTGACTTAAAGCGGAAACAGGCGGTTGGCCAGTGAATGGAAATTGCTCAAGTATTTGTTGCTGTTGTTGTATTTGCTATTGTCGTCGTTAAAGTTTTGCAATTAAAATGCCATTGAGGTGTTGTCCATGTTGTTGTTGTTGTTGTTGTTGCTCTTGCAGCTTATGTTGATTTTCGTTGGCTTTAATGAGGCACGCGTCTCGGCCATGTTTCCAACATGTGCGCCCGCTATAGCCTAAAAGTTGCCCAACAGCATTTTGGTTTTGGCTTTGCTTCATCTCTAATATCTATCAAATAGCATTAGAAAGTCTGTATTTTAAACCGCTTTTAATTTTAAGTATTTATTGAAATATAAATACATATATTATATTTAGATTCTTGCCATTAAGGCACATTCTAATTTGCCAGCAACAATTTGTCTAAAACGGATTTAGACTTTAAAGATAATTACCCAAGGCTTAATATTATTACAATGCATATGCATAACATTTTTTAGTTCCATCAGATTTTATAAAAAGGTTTCTGTAGGTTGTTGAATCTGTTGTTTAACAAAATAAAAAACAGCTTACACATTTATTTTTACTTGATTATTTGTGGAAATCTTTACTGTTAAAAATAGAAGTTAAACATGCGTGCAAATAAATGGATTTGCAACTAATTGATAACACTAGCTGAGCTATTCGTATTTTGAGCGAACATTGACAATTGCACGATAAACGATTGTTTGCGCTTTATCGATAATTGCTTTACAACGAATCACACACAAAAAATACGTGACGCTTTCTTGGGTTGCATGTAAACCGAATTATTTGCAGCACACGCTAAAAAACTTGAACTATTGCAACTGCAACTCGCCCCGCAGCAAATGTGAATGCAACATAAAACATGCAAGTGGAAGAAAAAATGTACATCAATGTAAACTTTATGGCATTTGTTAACTAAAGCGGCACTTGCTCCATTTTCTATTTAACATTTTCCCCATTTTCCCTTTCCCATTGCCATTTTACATGTTTGTCGTCGCCTGCACGACGGCTGCTGCTGCTCCAGCTGCAGAGTGTGTGAAAAATGTAACAATAATTGAAATTTAATAGCCGCGACGACAGCGTCCACAGTTGCCACAAGTTGCAACGTCAAAAAGAGCCTTGTGAGCGCAGGACGAAGAGAAACTCATTCACGTTTACTATTATATTCATAGGCACAAAAAATATCAAAGCAAGAGTGCTCTTTGCGAGTTTTCTTGACTTATGGATACCCTGTAGGAGATTTTTCTATCTACGCAAATTACAAAATTTGTTGTCTAAAGGTCTTATAATGGTTGATATCGGGAACCATACGAGCTAGATAAGTGTCGTGTTTGAGACAGGCAATCTACTCTTCTTTTGCCCATTTACATTGGGTACAGGGTATAAAACGGTACATGTCGCGAAATCGCCGCTGGCTGTGGCTCATGAAAAGCTTGTAACTCAAAATAAAAGTGGGTCAAAAGCTGTAAATGATATTTGTTCTACTTGGTTTAAGATGTTGTGTGGCGGACACACGCACAAAACCCTCTGGAACTTCCTTTATGCCTTTATATGTGATTTGTTTGCCTGAAAGCTTCAAAAGAAACTGCAACAGAAAGAAACTGCATAATCATCATATACTTAATCAACAGCATCAGCATCCACAGCTCACGGAGTCATTAACATGTTGATATGTGTTTTTTATGAAAAAGAAAATATAAAAAAAGGCGTTCATATATATACACTCATACACGCTCGAATACGTGTCAAATTTAACAACAGCTTGATTTTTTATTTCTTGTGCCCTGTCAAGACACCAAACAGTCTCGTATATAAGTGAGAAGCCATTGAACTTTTGGGTTCCTATATAATGCAATCTGTAGACGTCAACATTAACCGGGAGCTCACTTCGGAGATCGGACAGTAGTAATTAGCACATGAATGCTAAGTAACCACAGTCCAGATCGCATTTAGCTTTTATATAATGTAGACACAGCATGCTGAAAAACAATTTAATGCGCCCCAAAAATACCAGTTTTCAAACCATGTAATTTTGTAATTATACTTGCTTAGTGGCTGTCATAATTTGTGCTCTGAGGCTAAACATTTGTCAAGGAGAAGGTCAACACTGATAAATTCGGCAGATAAAGAAGGTTAGCAAGAAACAAGAGCTAACGACAACATTTTTAAGCAGTGGAAAAAATATTTGATATCAATTGAATAAATAGAATAAATAATTATGGACATTTTTAAAAGAGTTGAAAATTATGTTATCCTAGTGAAAATATCATTTGTACCTACGGTAAGAATATTATATAAAATATCATTAGATCTTACATATGTACATTTATATGTTCATCTAAAAGTTGTTGTCATCGTTAAATATACATTTGAAAGAAGAAATTCCAGAATGATTATAATCCGTAAATTGAACCAGTTGCCAAGGAAATTACTGAACCTCAACCCGTAGCGAACCGTACGTATATATATTTTTATAAATGATTCGAAATAGAAAAAGCATTTAATGTTTAATGGGTTTGGGTTATCTTATGTATTTTAAAATGCTTACATTTTATGATTTCATCTTATTTCGTAGCGTGCAATTGTTCTCCTACAGGAAGAAGGTGTATAATATATCAGATAATCGGATATCAAAAAGAAAGAACGTTGCAGTCAAGTGCAATATGCTCTTAAGAAAAGCTCATCAGCTATTATTATAATTATTTTTTCGAATTGCCACGCCCCCAGCACTCGTAGCCATATTATCCTTAAAATCCCCAAAATCCTCATATAATCGTGTTTGTTTACGAGTTTATATCGCAAATACAGCAATAGGAACATTGCAGAGCAGCAATATGCTCATCTGACTTTGTGAACCGGTATTAAAAAGTGTTTACAATCCGTAAAACCAGTTTCATTTAAGCCTTGCACTTTCCCCGAACAAATGGCACTGGAAATGACGGTGCCATAAAATAAAATTAACCTGTCCGCTTTGCTAAAACCCAATTCAATATTGCCTCACATATCTGAACGGGACTGTAACTAACAACTATTGAGAATCTCCACAAATAATTTGTAATGCAAATTTGACTGTTGCTGCGCTGCTCATTAAAATGAATTGTTTGGAAAATATTGCACTTGACATTTGCAATTTACAAGCACATCAAAGCAGCGGCTGACAATGATGTGAAATTAGCAAATGGAATAAACATTGAAAGCCATGTATGTTGGCAACTCTGGCTAACGATTTGTGGATAGTATGAAGGCCAGATAGTTAGCTGGGGGAATAAAAACAAATAGACATAAGTTTATAAAGTGAATGCGTTTCCTGTTTTCGTCTTTTGACTCGAGCATCATTATCAACAACATGATTAGTCAGATAATTATAATCAGCATTGTGCCAGCGGGTATCTGGCTGTCTGGCACATTTCCTTGGCACATTATTAATATGCACAAGTCCAAATAAAGTTGGGCACAACAATTTTAATGAAATCTTTATTAGGTTTTATGAAAACATCAACAGCCGACGGCAGAGCTAGCAACCCAGCAATCCAGCAGCCCAGCAGCGCCCATCTCCTATTCCCAGAGCTGAGTTTTAGTCGCTGGGACTGTGGTTGGGGTTGGGGTTGGGGTTGGGTCAGCCAGACTTGTCAGCCTGGGTCACGCCTCGAGATCACATCAAAGGGGTCGCTCTTGGGTTCGCTTAGTGGGTTCATTGCGGGTCGTTGCTTAATTTATGTGGCTTTCGGTATAGTTTTTTGTTTGTTTTTATTTTATTTTTTATTTCCCTCGGCTTGTTTGTTTGCTGCAAAAGTTTTGCTTCTGCTTTAAATTAATTAATAAACTGCCAATTTCAACGCTAACACTAGT